CATCAAGGTTGAAACACGTTCTCCTCTAACCAAACACGATCTCCACACCATGGCACGCAAAGCAATTTCCCCTTTGCAGGTCGGTGGACTCCAAATAGCCCAAACCAAAGTAATGGCTGGGGCTGGAACCACCCAGGAAACCCTTGCAAAGAAAAATTCCACAGCAAGGAGTTGGAACGCACTGTGCGATGCAAAGGGACACGCATGCAGCACTACCTTTTTCCTTGGGTATGCACACAAGACCCAAACTTGCCAACATGTGCGCCATTTGGAAGGAGAGGCATGCATCACCACTGATCTCCATCAAAAACCAAAAACAGACTGAAGGACTACAGTTCTTGTCACAGGGGTTGCCGAGAACCGCTGTAGCGCAGTGGTAAGTATCCTGCATCTCACACACGGCCCCGTTCAATCCCCGGCAACGGAAACCTCACATTCCTCAGAGACCAGGAAACCACCGACACCTCAGAGATTCTTTTCCTAACTTGCCCCCTGAGGCGGACCGTGCTTAAAAAACAGGGTTGGTCGGAGAGAGATTTTTACAGATGTACGAGCACATCTCCTGAGGCAAATCATCCCCGCGATTTGTATGATCACATCTCCTGAGGCAAATCTTCGGACAGACCGGACGGAGGCCTTCAAAAGGGGTCTACATACAAAAACAAAATTGGAACCCACTGTGCAGTGCGAAAGGAGAGGCATGCAGCACTACGGGTCTCTACAAAAGCCGAAAACGAACTGAAGTCTTACAGTTCTGGCCATACAGATCAACCTTGATCACCACAGTCGTTGTAGTATAGTGGTAAGTATCCCTGCCTGTCACGCAGGAGACCCGGGTTCGATCCCCGGCAACGGCGATCTCCCATTTGTCTAAGCCACAAATAAACAGGGTTCAAACCACCCCAAAGACATTAGAGATTATTTTTCAAACTTGCCTCGAGGAGGACGCCTAAAATACAGGGCCAGTCAGAGAGAAAGTTTTCTCATGGACACGGTGCACCTTCTGATACAAATAATCTCCTTACATTTGCCAGCCCTTCGGACAGACCTGACAGCGGACTGGCCTGTGACACAGCAGAAAACTGGCGGCACTCCATAGGACTGGCAGCTTAACACTTACTGCATTGTACAGTGTCGGTCTCTCAATGCCTGGTATGAAGATATTCCAGCAGACAAGGTTCACGTTCCCATCCCTGTCATTTGGATATCCCAGCAGGAGAAGCTCAAGGCCCAGGTCTCTGTTAAACAGTTGTGCTATTTCCACACCTGTCATGTGGAGAACCAACACAATTGTTTCGGGAAAAGACAGAGCTTTGAACTACCAGTATCCAGCAACCTCTGACAGCCTTTCAATGACGAATGAATTTAACCAGGCACAGGCAGGCTGGTACGGCCAAAGCACGGCTTCCCCCCTGTTATCGAGCCCACTTACTGGCAGTTCAAACCACGAGTCCCTTTCTCACCTAACTTATCATAATGTGCGCCTAGCAGTGCCTTGCGCGCCTTCGGCCTACATTTCTAGTACGAGAGGACTGGGATGGGTCAACCTATGGTGGACCGGTTATCATGCACTTAACCCGCAGTGGAAAATAGTGGTCGGACCTGTCAGAGGGAAAAGGCTGACGGCCTCTGGCAAGATCGCACCCACAACAGTTTGGTTATGTTAGGGCCCTAGCCGCATAGCGCATCATTTAAAAGAGAGACTCAGAGGGACTGGTGGCTAAGAGACCCACACCTGCCAAAGGGCTCACACCAGCAGAGTTTTCATTTTTAAAAGCTATATTCTTCTCTCAATTTCACCTCACACTACCTACCTACCACTACTCCTAATTGTAGGCATACGGGGAACCCCGTAGCAGCCAGAACCGTGTTCACGAGAGAACATGCAGGGGCTGCTCCCGACCCGCAGGTGGGCAATACCGGCTAGGGGACAGCCGGTAGCATCAGGTACCATGCCAACAGGACCAATCCCTGTGCCTCCCCTCAGGTCCCCTCCTCTATGAACATCAGCAGACTCTGCTAAATGCCAATCGGGGGATCCAGTGGTCTATCTCTAGGTGGCGGGCGCCAAGCATGCCCAGGAAGGTACATGAGGCCAATGGGGATTGAACCCACGACCTCCTGAATGCCACTTGCGAGCCTTACCAACTGAGTTAGGCCGCTGGATTCAGCAGAGTTTTCATCCCCAGGGCGAACAGCAGTAGGAAATCACTTCAGAAAACACAAAAACAAAGCAGCCCTAAGGCAAGTTATTTCCGACTTTCTTCGTCTTGTCATTGGGGGCGTGTTTTCTTCTTTTTTATCAATTCAACTTTTGGGCAGAGGGCCACATCCATCCCCTTCGTTGTGAGAGGTAGCCATGCTTGCAGGGGTCCCCCCTCTATAGCCTTAGCAGAAGTGGTAGCTAGGTAGTCAGAGGCGAATTTGACAGAAGAATATTAGCTTACTGAAAAGGAAAGGGGCAATACGCATCCCATTCATTTGTGAGAGGTAGCTATGCTTGCAGGGATCCCCTGTATAGCCTTAGGAGTAGTGGTAGGTAGGTAGTGTGAAGCGAATTTGAGAGAACAATATAGCTTATTGAAAAGGAAAAGAAGAAGAAAAAAAAATAATAAAAATTACGAAATGAGTTTCGCAAACAAATTCTGGGAATTTCATTTATCCGTGCTGCATTCCTTTTGTCATTTGTTTATCAACCGCAACAACAGAAATTCAGCCCTGGTTGTACTGCTCCTGCGTGATTGCTACAGCACCCATCTCCTTCAGATCAGGTTGGTAATGACTGTATCTTGCAATTTTGGCAGAGCATGTGTCCAATCTATTCGTGGGGAGCATCACGTGCTGGGAACCGGGCCCAGCGTCCCTTGAATACATTGATGATTGACAATTGATGAAAATTTGGGATGATTGACGAGCAGAGCATGTGTCCTAACTATTCGCAATTGCCACACAGTGGAGGAGCAGGGAGGGCAGGTGTTGTAAGCGGCTACTGGCTTCACCAGTCCATCGCTTCTCTCGATTTTTCTCCCTTCAAAACCACACAGCCAGCTATCAATTCTAGAGATGGATCCTCCCCCTCCAACCCCAGAGAGATGGATCCTCCTCTCCCTAGAATTGAGAGCCCACCCATGCTCATAAACCTCCTTTTCTATAGCTTGGTTGGGCAGGGACAGCAGGTTTTGGGGGCCTCACCAGACAGACCCTAGGAACAACCTGCGAAAACGAAAGGCCAAGAGGCTTTTCACTGGTGACCCATGGCAGGGAATTTCAGCAAGTCAGAAAAGACGAAAGAATGGAGACAAAGTCTGACAAACCCAGATTATTATACAGCAAAAAGAAAGAAACGAGTAGCAAGGCCAGGCAGAGCAGCTCCATCTTTTCACTGGTGATCCATGGCAGGTGATCTATGGCAGGGGATTTTTGTTTGCCAATGAAATTCCAACCTTTTTTTTTTTTTTTTTTTTTTTTTTTTGAGACAAAAGCTCCATCAATGAATCTCCAGCCTGGGTTGCCCAGAGAAGAAAAAGGGTGTGCAAGGCCAGGCACAGCAGTTCCATCCCAAATTTCCCAATGTAAACATGCGCAAACAGAAATCAAAAATCCAAAATCCAAAATCCAAAAAGGCAAAGGTACATAAACACTGTCCTTCGGGATCTCCGTTAAAACTGGAACCATACAGAGAAAGAAGATCAGCATGGCCCCTGCACAAGGATGGCACGCATTAATTGCGAAATGGTCCAAAAAAAAAAGAAAAAAAGGTACATAAACACCCTGCATGCTAAAGTTCGGAAAAGGATGAGCTACCCCCTCCCTACACTATAGCCCACCCCTGGAAATACGTAAGCACCCTGCATGCTCAAGTTTGGAAACAAATGAGCTATACCGTCTCCCCCCCCAAACATAACCCACCCTCATAATGAACGTATACAAGCTATTTTTCCGACCAGATACCGTCATCTTGCGGGTGCGTTGTGCTCGGGAGAAGACCGTAGCTCTCTGCATTCAGAACCGGGATGCGAAGATGAACAAGTGCATGATCTGCACGGGGATGTGCACGTGAATTCTGAGCAGCAGGCCGGTGTTGTCCTTCCAAGCACAATCGGGCTGTTTCTGCTCTCTATTGAGAAAAAAAGGGAAACGAAAAGGGGCAGGTTGTTAAGAGCATTCGCCAAAAAAAAAAAATAAAAAAAAAATCGCCAGCTATGGGGTGAGGAGAAAAAGAATTTCAGACAGAAACAAACAGAAAGGTTAATAGAACCCGACCCCTTCCCCTTCCCCTTCGGAGGTTAACCTTATGGGCTGCAAAGTCGGGATCCGTGTTGGCCACGTGTAAGACTGTCACAGGTTGGCCAGGACCCATTTTTCCCGCCGGGGAGAGTTCAGAATGGGTGGACTCGTTTCCTCAACGGCAGAGAAGGAAGGGAGAGTTGCCCATTGGGAAATAGAATAAGAATTATAAGATACTAAAAGACTATGAATTATAAGGTGTGGAAGGGGGGGGAGGGGGGCAGGGGGGTGATTATAAGATACAAAAATAGAATTATAATTATAAGATACAAAAACAGAATTATAATTATAAGACACAAAAAATAGAATTAGAATTAGAAGACACAAAAATAGAATAAGAATTATTCTGTGTGACAGTGAGTGTAATAATTATGTAATTATTCTTATTCTATGTGCAACTTATACTAGAATAAGAATTATAAGATACACATACAATAAAGAATTATAAGCTACAAAAAAAGTCAAAAATAGAATAAGAATTACAAGCTATTGTTATATATAAAATAAAAAATAAAAAAATACAAGCTACAAAAATAGAATGAAAATTACAAGATTTTTTATTTATTTATTTTGGGGAAAATTACAAGATTCAAACACATAGAAGGAGAGTTATAAGATAGAAACAAATAGAATGAGGATTCTAAGATACAAACCAATAGAATGAGAACAAGAAGAAGAAATATAGGATACGAAAATAGGAAAAGATACCTCACCTGCTTTGCCCGTTTTCCAAACACAAAGAGCATTGCGTCAATGACATTGCTTTTCCCACTTCCATTTGGTCCAACCACTGAAGAAAAACTCTGCATCATTCCGACCACATGCAAGTCGCACGCTTTAGTGGGCAGTACCGTCTTCACCCTTGATGCCCCCCGGTCGGAACGAGGGTAAGGGTTTTGTGGGTGTAACACATGAGACGCTGGGAGCGGGGCCCCCTTGTTCCACTACCGTCTTCCCCCGGAACGGAATCCCCGGTCATAATCGCTGTATCTAGGCTGAAAGTTGCCCTAAGTTCAGTTATAATAGACCGGGCGTTCGGTTCGGATGAATACGGTAGCGAGGGTGAAGGTTGTTTCTGGAGTCGTGCGACAGCAGAGGTAGCACAAAGAAAAAAGCGACAGCTCGTATCTGCGCCCGTTAGCTTCACAGGCAAAAAGAAAACAACAAAGAAAAAGATTCACAGGCAAAAAAAAAAAAAAGATCAGCTTTCAGCTTTCTCGTTCTTTTTTTCTTTTTAAGCTTTCTAAGTTTCCTTGCGTGGTTTGCAGGAGGGGCATTTTTTTTTTTATTTTTTTTTTTAAGGAAGAGCATTTGCTCGTAAGCTAAACTGGCTGATGCAAAAAAAAAACAAAAAAAA